CTGGGGCTTGAACAATGCTCAGCCATATGGGAGTTCAGCGTCTTAACCATCACGCCACCTGCCAGCTCCAGCATATATTTTTTTAACTGTAAAAGGTATATGTTATATTGGCTGTAGTTTATTTTACAATACATCAGTAAGTTATAGGCTGTGAGCAGGGTTGCCAAAATTAGCAAATAAAAATACAGAACACAGAATTAATTGTAAATGCCAGGTAAATACCAAATAATTTCTCAGTGTAAGTATGTAGCAAATGTTATATATATTTTATTTGACAACTCTAACTGTGAGATATCCTTCTGATCCAAATTCTAGAGGGTGATTCGTGAACACATGAAACATCCCAATCAGAAACACATATTTTAGGGGTGGTTAGTTAACATTTGAAAGACTCCAAGCAGAAGACATACTCCCTAGGCAGCTTGTGTGAGACCTCCAGCTATTTTTATCTTCTATCAACACCAGAGGCTTTGCTAATTAGCATAATGAATGTTAGAAATGATTTTCTTGGGTGAAACAAGTAGAATTTGAGATGTGTATATTGGCCAGAATTACCATGTAGAGGAACTCTCCCTGCCCTTGCATGGGAAAAGTATATAAATTTAGCAAGTTCATTGGTGATGTATGATCTTTGGAATGGCATTCTAAGATGTGAAACCAGTCCTATTTATAAGCACTAATTAAAGAAGTTTAAAGCCTGACTCCTAGCTCACCATTAGAATTCCACTCCCTCTACACGCAATACGTTGTCATGTGGCCTAGGAGGTCAGAAGCTCATTGATTTACTGGGTAGACTTTGTTAGGGGCCAACTTGCTAATAAATATTTGTATGCATGAAAGAATTCAGCCTGAAACTTGTTTTTGTTGTAACATAGCCACCTGGGAATGAAAGTGTTGCTCTCGACTATCTACAGAAAGAACCAAATTGGTTTGGGTTGGTTCCTAATAAGAGAACCTTGCAGTAACTAAGGGGGTTTGGTTCTCAGAAGTGTGTGAATAAAAAGAAATAGAGGATTTGGAAAAATGTGAAAAGTACTGAAGAGTAACTGGGCAAATAAAACCGATTCCTGGGGGGCAAAACTATTTAGGGAACCTTTACTGTATTAATATATATATAAAAAAATCATTGTACCATTAAGTGTAGAATTCAGTGACATTACATATATTCACAACATTGTACAACCATTACCACTATCAATTTTCAGAACTTTTTCATCCTCTCAAACTAAACACTATACCCATTAACAGTAACTCTCCATTTCCCCCCTACATCTACCCCTGCAACCACCATTATTTCCAGTTTTTAAATTAATTTTTAAAATTATTATTCCTACATTAAATCACTATACATCATTTAGATTGTGAAGAGACTTTACCCAGCATGTTATACACCCCAGTCCAGCCCAGTTGAGACTATTATACACATGTTCGTCAACAGATAAAAAACCTTATCTGAGTCCCACAAGTGTCTTACCTCTCCATTCCCCCCACCAAATTTCCCTTCCTATGCTCCTCCCCTCCCTCACTCTCTTCCCACGTTGTCTCTAGTGTCCATTTCAATTTTTAATGCTTTTATGTTCTCCAGTCTTTCAGTCTCTACCATAGAGTGTGGACAGTCAGTATAGGTTAAGTAGAGACATCCAATGTCTCTCTTTCATAGCCTGACTTGCTTCACTCAGCAACAAATCTTCCATATTCTTCCACTTTCTATCAAATTCCAGAGCCTTGTTATTTTTTATGGCTGAATATTATTCCATAGAGTATATGTGCCATAATTTTTCAATCCATTCATCTGTTTGTGGATATTTGGGTTGATTCTGTCTTAGCAATCGTGAATAATGCTGCAATGAAAATAGCTGTGCAAGCGTTTTTCCAACTGAGTGCTCTCCTGTTCTTTGAGTAGATACCCAGGAGTGGAATTGCTGGATCGTATGGTTGTTCCATTTGAAGGTCTTTGAGGAACCTCCACATCATTCTCCACAGTGACTGGATCAATTTACATTCCCACCAACAGTGTAGGAGTGTCCCCCCCACATCCTCTCCAGTACTTACCATTAAAAAATATGGAATGCTTCATGAATTTGCGCAGGGACCACACTAATCTTCTCTGTATCGTTCCAATTTTGGTATATGTGCTGCCGAAACGAGCACTCGTTTCTATGAATTCACCTGTTCTGGGTATCTCACGTAAGTGGAATCACACCTATAATATTTGTCTATATGGCTTATTTCACTTAGTGTAATGTTTTTGAGGTTCACTCATGTTGTAACATGTCTTAGAATTTCCTTCCTTTTTAAGGCAGAAAGATATTCCATTGTATGTTTATACCATATTTTGTCTACTAATTTATCTGTTGATAGATATTGGTCAGGGTTTCTTTTCTGACAGTGGGTTTGAGGTCAGAAGACAAAGCTGAGTTCTGTAGTTTCTTTCTAACCTTGGACAAGTCACTCAGCTTCTCTGAATTCCATCTTCTCCTTTTATTTATCTTTAAACACACACATCTTTATTTATGTCTTTTCTTATTAAAAAACTTTCTAGAGGGCATATGCATTTGCTGGAATATGCATATGCATTCCGTGAGGAATGATCACACTGTAATCCCTTCTCCTCCCATTTCTCCTTTCAGGAGTTTGGTCACATACGCACATGTGCCTGGCATGTTTTCCAAGCTACCAGATACAGGACTTGAATCACACAGTTGGCAGTGAGGGATCCAATCACTTTAACCACCACACCACTGGCTGACCCTATTTGTTTTATTTCTTTTGAGAGGGGGGTGAGGAGAGAGAGACATCCTCCATAAGGTTTTGTATCACCACCATCCCTGCCCCCTCTCCAGCCTTTCAGCCAGCCAGAATCATGGGTGTGTGTATGCCCCATACCCAGAATAATTTTAGGTCAGCATAAGATCTGAACCACGGTCTTCAGCATAGTTCCCAAAATAGCAGAGTGTCCTCCTGCCACCTGTGCCATCAGAGCTGGGCCCTGTACACCTTTCTCTTTTACTTAGATGCTTGTTGTGAACATCAAATAAGGTAACGTGCGTAAAGGAGTCTTGTAAGAGGTAAAGGACCATGTTATGTACTGTTGTACTTCTTGTCTTTATTGGCACTAGAAAATGCTAGAAAATAAACCCTTTTCCGTTTTACTCTAATGCTGGTGATTTCTTCTGTTCTCAAGGTTTTGCCTATTTCTCAAACACCATTGAATGCAAATGCCTTGAGGCTTAGTATCTTGTAGCTCAATTTATTATAGAACTTTGAAATATTTAAGGGTAAATTCAATTAGTAAAAGTGTAATTACTGCCTGAATAAACTATAGTTTAAATTTTAATATGCCAAAGTGGATCATTTTATGAGCAGAACAAGCTCTATGTTATACATTTTTAATGCTCCTAAACTAACAAAGTGACATACAACCTATAAAAGACACAAAAATTATTGTGTTCATTTTCAAATTCCCCCCAAATCTTCATCCTGCCCTCAGCCAAAGTAAATGAACCCATTTTATTCAATGCCTTCAACAGTCCCATTTTGTCTGTTTAAGCACTCACATATTTTCCTAGGTTAACTAGTCCAGCTTCTCTAACTGGAAGAAAGAAGCTACAAGGGGGGAAGAACCAGCAGTTAGCATAATGGCTATGTCCCTGGACTCCCACGTAGTCGACCACGGTTTGTGTCCCGGACCCGGTGGCTTAAAACTCACGCCAGGCGCGTGTGCGTGCCCAAGATCCCAAGAGGAGAATGGAGGAGAAGGGATTGCGGCATGGCCATCCCCCCTGGGGGGTGATTTCTCGCTTTCTGTCTCTCTGTCTCTCTCTGTCTGTCTGGTGAGCTCACATGCCCTATAGCAAAAACCTCTCCAAAATAAATAAATAAATAAATAAAGAAGCTACAAGGGGTTAGGCCCCAGGAGTTCCAAGAAGAAGGGAGCACAGGATATTTGCAAAGAGGCTAAGTTTTGACTCCGAGTCACTACCCTGCAGCAGTATGATTGAACCGGCATCCTGCAGGCTGGGCCAGGCTGGGCCTGAGTCACTGTTGGTCCTGGATGTGGGATCCTCCTAAACAGCTGATGCCAGCAGAGAGCTCAGGTGCTCAGCTCTGTGGGATGAAACAGGGTGCAGTGGGAAGGAGCAGGTGGGGTGGGTTGAGTCTGATCTTCAAAGACACCAGGAGACTGCAGCAGCTTCTATTTTCCAGCCAATACCAGCACTTCCTGACAGCCTTGAACCTGTGCCAGAAGGAGAGGGAAAGGAAAAAGGAGAAAGAAAAGATGAAGTGCATATTCTCAAAGCAGCCTCACCCTAGCTTGTCCACACTGTCTAATTTCCAGCTGGGCTTGCAGCTCACGGGAGACATAAAGGCTTGTGTTGGCCAAGTTTTCTCACCCGCAGCTTCCCGGACACTTGGAGGGCCAGCAATTACCCAGTAATTACCCTGTTTATTGCCTCATTACGGGTGACCACCTTTTGGCAGACATTTCCCTGGGAAGGTCTCTTCTCCAGCACAGGCTTCTTAAAGCTGGGAAGGGGACAGGCAGGCCTGCTGGGCCCTGCTGCTGTAGCCATGCTGAATTGCACATCCCGCATACGCCCCTCACCCGCCCAGCTTGCACTTATTCTTGGTCCTGCACCAAACCGTACACCTCTGCTTTCACTAACGACCAGCTGGGCCAAACGTGGACAGCGCCGGAACTTTTTTCACGGGCCCATCCCACTTCCGCTTCTTGTGCACGGAACATTTAGCATGGGCGCATCTTACTTCTGCTCCTCGCACCAGCCAAGGCGCCACCAGGACCCTTCTTAGCACGGGTTCCCTCCTGCGCATTCCCTGATTCCCTCGCCGCTCACAAGCACTGTGGCTTCAGGTGCGTGGTTTAAAGAGTCTGCCTAGTGTCCTTTAGACTCCTGACACCTCGCCGCCTCCTAGTTCTAACGGCCTCACATGCTTACCTCACACTTCCGCTTTGGAGAGCAGCATCTGCAAGCTTGTGGGCTCGTGGGTGGGGGGTTCGCTTGGGGGAAACTGGATATGCCAACGGCTGTGTCTTCCAAGCAAGGTACAAGTAAAATTGGGTCAATCAGGGAAGAGTGAAGCTGGAAGAATGAATTTGGGATTTCACGTAGTATGGGTGAAATGAGTTACTCCCCTTTTAGGAGTGGGGTGGCCATTGGTATGAAATTATAGACGGGAATTCTGGGAGGGGCCTTGGGGATCATCTAGTCAGTCTCTTTATTTTACAAAGAGAAGAAAGAGGCGTGGAGCTGTGCCCCTGGTGGTGAGCCTCTCCTCATGCAATTCCAGCCACCTGTCTTTGCATGGCTGTTCCCTCTCAGCCCTGCAAGTCTCTCCCACCTTTTCCCAGATGGTCTTGTTCCATGGTGGCTTGTCAGGAACGATTGTGGGCCCTTCTTTGAGCACCAGCCTGGAACCTCATGTAATGGCTGGAATATGGCTTTTGTGGGGGATTGCTCCTGTAATCCCCCTACCTTTAGCTTTTTTCTCACTGTTGATCCTGGGCTACCAAAGCCTCCTCATGCTCTCACAGTTCCTCTGGCCCGGCAGGGCATCCCAAAGGGCATTCTGCCCACCCACCTGCCAGAGCACACCATGCTTTCTTCCAGAAAGACCAATCTTGTTCACTACAGAGTTTCCTCACACTCAGCCTGGGGTAAATTTGGGCTAGGCCTGCTCCGAATGGCAGCATCAAGGCCTGCAGGAGGCCTGGGCAGAGGTTCAGGCTCCCGCTTGCATGCACTCTACCCACCAGTGTAGGGTGGGCCAGGCACCTGATCTTATTGTCTGCAGCTTCGTCTCTGTAGAAGCCCCTGTTGCTAAGTTACCACAGCCCCTTCCATGCAGCCTTTAGAACGGAGGAAGGGAGATGCACAGATGGCTCCAGGGTCCTGTACAAGTAGTACTCGTGGCCTCAAGCCAAATGCCTTGTTGGGGGGGGGGGCAGGGCTTTATATCTCTCATTTGTCCATCTGTCCAACCGTCCATCCATCCATTCATCCGATAAATATTTCTGGACATTTCCTATATGCCAGTCTCCAACCTGTCAGGCTAAATGCAGGGAGTGAAGCTACAGGAGTGAGTCTATCTCTCCAGTCTTATCTGCAGCCCACTACACACCCCCTGAGATAATAGCCACAGGGGCACTAGATGTGAGTGCTACGTGTCAGGCGCTGTTCTAAGAGCTTCACAAATATCTACTCATGTGACTCATGCCTATTCCAGCCGGTGTCACTATGATCCCTGTTTTACTAGAAAACTGAGGCACAGAGCAGTGCCAACAACGTACCAGCCAGCAGCTAGTAAATGGCAGAGCCAGGATTAAACCCATTCCAAATGTGCTCTTTCAAACTCTACTATTAAGAATGATTTTTTATCCAGAGCCATGGAATGCAATAGAGTACTTTAATTGGGTGGGTTAACATTAATAGATGTTTTAAAAATCAGACCGCTGTCCAGCCCCTATAATGAGCTGGCTGGTGTTGCAGGCTGAAGCCACATGGGAGGCCTGGGTTCGATTCCCTGTCTGCCCTAAAAAACCAGGTGCAATGGAATGTGTCTGATGTCCTAGCTACTTGGGAGGCTGAGGCAGGAGGATTGCAACATAGCAAGGCTCTGTATGGTAAAAAAGAACAAAAAAACAATTTTCGTGACTGTTTCCTGGAAATCAAATGAGATCAGGGTGAGAATGGATAAAAATGGACCTATAAAGAAGTCTTTTCCAGGCAAAATTATATACGTATATAGACACTTGGTTTAAATTTCTTATTTTCTAACGTCCACTTTCAACTCTACTCCTTTTATGTCCTCAGGCATCTTGGGCAAAGTCTTTATTTGAAAACACAATTCAGTTAAGTTTAAAATTCCAATTCCAAATCAGATTTAATTTTTTTTTTTGAGAGATTTTCGCTATAGGGCACATGCGCTCCCCAGACAGACAGAGAGAGACATAGAGACAGAAAGCGAGAAATCATCCCCAGGGGGGATGGTCACACCGCAATCCCTTCTCCTCCATTTTCTTCTCGGGATCTTGGGCACGCACGCACACGCGCCCGGTGTGAGTTTTAAGCCACCGGGTCCGGGACGCGAACTGTGGTTGACTACGTGGGAGTCCAGCGACATAGCCATTATGCTAACTGCTGGTTCCCCAGATTTAAATTTTACCCATTCCACTTTTCTGAACTCTAACCAGGCTTTGGACTTGGAGTAAAAATAACATACTGTTTTCGTATTTTATATTTTTCCCACTTCACTTCAGTATTGTGCTTGGAGTTGGGGTAGTGAACTTGGTCTAGTTAGTGGGGAGGTACTTCTTCCTTCCACTTTTGAGTCTATCCCATCTGATGTTAAGGCTGAGAAAGGAGATATTGCCGCCGTTAAAATAGAATATGCCTTCATGAGAATGGTATCTCACCCATGGAAAGCACTCAATAAATATTGTATTCCATGAATGAATAAACTAAATAGGTTGGGACCAGCAGATGGCATAATGGCTATGTTGCTGGCCTCCCATGTAGTCAACCATGGTTCGAATCCCAGACCTGGTGGCTTAAACTCACGCCAGGGCATGTGCATGTGTGCCCAAGATCCTGAGAGGAGAATGGAGGAGAAGAGATTGTGGCATGGCCATCCCCCCAAGGGGCGATTTCTCGCTTTCTGTCTCTCTGTCTCTGTCTTTCTGATGAGCGCATGCACCCTGTAGCAAAAACCGCCCCAAAAACCCCACCAAAAATCAAACAAACAAAAAAACCCAAAATAGGTTTAAAAAAAAAATGGAGGTAGTAGGTGGTGTGACCACTTTGCAATTCTGGAGCCACCCAGAAGACCATGGTTCAGATCCCACATTGACCTAAAATTATGCTGGGTGTGAGGCGCACACAAACCTGTGATCCTGACTAACTGAAGGCTGGAAAGAGGGAAAGAATGGTGGCAAGACAAAACCCTACTGAAGATGCCTGCCTCTTTTCCTCCCTCCCTCTCAAAAGAAATAAAATAAATAGGGTCAGCCAGTGGAGTGATGGTTAATATAGCTGGGTTCCACATGGCTCACTACACATTTTGAGTCTCAGACCCATGGCTTGAAAATCACTCTGGGTGTGTGTGTGCACATGCCAAAATCCCAAGAGGAGAATGGAGAAGAAGGGATTGCAATGTGACCTACTTCCTCACTTTTCCTCTCCCTCACTCTTTGTCTTGGACTTTCTCCTTCTGGTAAGGGCATGTGACCCATAGCAACAAACTTCAAAAAAAAAAAAAAAAAAGAATAAACAAATTGGTCATCCTATTGCTAAAAGAGCAGTGTCTGTGCCAGAATGGGAGCCCAGAAAGATCAGGGACATGTGTGCATGTGTATGTGTATATCTAGATAAACAGATAGACAGAGGTGGATAGATGATAGACAGATACAGTATTTTTCTTTATGCTCTGCCCCATTCAAGAATGGACTTAAGAAGTAATTTTGATAGAGATAATTTTGGCATTCAGCGCCCTGTGCTCCAACTCACCTTTCCAGTTTTAACTCCCCTACACAAGTTTTCTGCTCCAACTCATGGCTCTCCAGTACGTTTGGTATCTTTTCCTTGATGTTGCCTGTTTGGGGGGGACTAAAGTGAGACATCTCTCAAGAATCTGTAGATAAGGGAGCTAGGATTGTCTGCTGAGAATCAAACTTTAAGATCTGTACAGAGCAGAGATATGCAAAGTCACCTTCAGGAGACAGAATGTTCCCTAGGCGGCCCGACTTGACAGTAACCTGATTGAATGTATTAACACACCCACAGGAAGCATGTGTTAATCAGAAGTGATGCTGCTCAGCCATCATGCGTAAAGAAAAGAGAGTCGCCAAGGCAGTGACCGGACAAAGGAGAGGGAGTTAGGGCAGTAGACTTGCGATAGTGTGGTCCTCCCTGAGACAGTGAAGGAAGCAGGTGTTGTGGCCATTGTAGTGCAGCAGTTCAATCTTACTGGCCCGGACCATCTGATTAGGTAGATGGACTCCATCAGTTCATCTTCATGTGCTCCCATTGTACCTTAAATTTATCTAGCTCTCTGGTTTTCATGATTTTGATAATATATGCACCACAGTCAGGACTCAATACATATTAGCTATTGATATTTTTATTCTAATTAAGAGATGGCTTTCTGGGACCAGCAGATGGCGTAGTGGTTACGTTGTTGGACTCCCACATGGCCAACTGTTGTTTGAGTCCTGGGCCCAGCTGCTTGAAACTCATGCTGCACACGTGTGCCTGTGTGCCAAAAATCCTGAGAGGAGAGTGGAGGAAGAGTCGCAGCATGACTATCCCCCTTGGGGGAATGATTTCTCTCTTCTGTCTCTCTGGTGAGTGCCCGTGCCCTATAGTAAAAATCTCTCTCTAAAGAAAAAAGAGAGTGATACCTTTCTGCCTACAGAGAGGATATGCAGAGCTACTCTAGGGACAATAGAGTCCTTGATAAAAATAAGCAAAGGGCATTCCAAGTGTACGGACTCTTAATGTTAATATTAGATAGTCTCGGATGTATGACTCTTTCGGGGCGGTGGGTTGAGAAAATCGGGTGCTCTAGAATGGAGGATTGACAGTCCAACCTTGATGGGGTGAATTCTGAAAGGGACTAGGTAAGACCCGGAGCAACCTCTTGGAGACTGCTAATTTGGAGTGGAACCAGTCTACACCCTAGCCCAGGCCACCCAGCTTCTTTCTCCTGCCTAAGCCTGACCCTTTCTGGGAGGCTTGGCTGAACCACTGTAGTCAGTAGCACCTTAGCCCCTGTTCTCTGTAGCCTGTGGGGTATAGCACAAGTGGGCAGAACTGGACTCCGGGAGTTAGGTATCTGGGCTTACAGAGTTATGGGCTCTGGAGATGGACTTACTTTCCTTCCATGAAAAATTGGTAAGAATAGTGTTGACCTCACAGCAGTGTTGTAAAGCTTCATGAGCTAATGCAGAAAAAGCCCTTGGCCCTGTGCCTGTCACACAGTAGGTGCATAATAAAGATTAGTCATTGCTGTTAATTGCTACTTAGTTTTCTGAGCACATGCCCTGTC